TTTAAATATTTCAATAATCTCGTGATTTTATGATATTCTTCATATTTTCTATGATTATTTTCATAATAATCTAATTTATCCATCTGAAAAGAGTAAAAATTTCCCTCTTTCCTTTTTCTCTTGGGATGCTTGAATATTAAAAGGACCAAAACTTCTTTTAATTTACGTTGTGGGTAAGAATAACACCAAAATTCGATTCTAGAGTTGTTCTACCTACTAAAAATAGACCGATTGTTTGAAAGTCAAAAAGTCCATAAACGACTCTATTGTAACAATCGTCCGCGTACATTATCATTTACATCATTCTTTACATTTTACCACGTGATAATACACTATTGAATAATTTTAAAAATTAAACAATTTTTTTTTTCAATCATTTTTTAACAACACATAAAATGTCAATGATAATGTATAGTTGGAGTGTACATCGAGCATTTTTGCTTTTGTAAGTTTGGCTCAATCAACGATAAAAGTACAAGTCAAAATATTTTATTAGTATTGAACAACGTCAACTAAAATCTTAAATAAGTAAAAAAAAGGTATACTTATTTATTTAATATGTATCTTCAACGCTATTTATCACCTCGTTAAAATCATATGGCATTAAAGAATGAATACAATTATTTACTTAAATATTATCATAGTTATCAGATCCGAACCAAGACCAAAAAATCATCGGGTCAACAGTTCAACCGGTGGATTGTTATTAGTTCTTAATTTTACTTAAAAATATTTTTTAGACCAAACTAATATAGATGCATACACACACACACACGAGATTGATCTCACAAGCATCGGTGCTTAATTTTATGATAAGAAAGTCACTTGAGTCACCCAAAGCACTTGGGGTTCAAATCTCTCCCTATGCAAATTTGATATAGAATTTTATTATGGACCAATTTTATAAAATCGGTTTACATTGAACCGATTCCAATTCAACTAAGCACGATCGGTTTAGTTCAATTGTGAACAGATTTAGGTGGTTATTGACTGGTTCCATGGTGACTGGACCAAATGATGCCATAGTCCGGTTCATTGGATCGGCATGAACGGTCCGATCCAACCCAATTTTAGTAGGTATATGGATATATAATTTTAAAAAATCATAACGTGGATAGTGGTGTATTAAATATAAAAATTATTATGTTTATTAATATAATTATTAAGTTCACATGGTTTTATATAAGAGGAAAGTTGTTACACATTATTGTAAAGACTTTTTATTAGTGTATCCTTACCTAACACCAACAAACAAAGACCTTTTCCTCGGTAGGTATGTATATCACGAAGAAATTTCTAGTTATGTAGTAACAAATTTAATTATTTTAAATATGAATCACAATTATGTCTATTGAACCATCTACAATGCTATCCCATAACACCATTTTGCACCCAAAAAAAATAAAAAAATGTTGCAAACTCTCTCCAACCTAACATCATCAGTGCAAATGAATAGTGCTAGCACCAAAAAGGGTTAATGCCCCCCTTTGCTCTTCTTTTCTATTTTGTATCAAATTTTTGTTATGGGTAATGTGATCTCTTTTTTATACAACAAAATTTAATTATTAATATTATTATTAGTATTATTATTAAACTTTAATCACTCAATCAATAATAATTAATGAATGAATTCAATATTAAAGAATCAATATTTTTGTTAACTAAACGTAATTATTTATTTAGTAATTTATGTCATAATAAAATAAATAAATAATCTTTGAAATAAATACATTGTTAAGAATGAAAAAAAGAAAGAAAGAAATAATGAAAAACTATTCATTTGGTGTAACTGTTAGGGTATTGAGTTGTAGATGATTTTCAATTTGGTGTAAATTTGTGCAAAATTATACCTCAAATTTTGGTGTAGGGTTGTGTTTAGAAAATTTGGGGATACCGATCCCAACTAATGACTCAGACCTACACGACACAAGTAATTTGAGAAAGTTTACGCATACAATTTATAGATTTTCATCTAGATTCATTCTTTGTTTGAGTTTCTTTTCTTTTTTTTTTTTCAAAGGAAATTTTATAAAAGTAATTTTTAAGAATGTGTGATTAAAAAGTACGATAAATGTTCGAATTTTATGTGTAAAATTATTTTGTTGGAGAAAAACGAGTTATAAAGAATGAAAATCAATTAGGAGTTCATTAAAGAGTCAAGCGATATCTCATGATGTATGTAAGAGACATAAATTTATAAATTTATCTAAAAGAAATAATGTTGATGATTGAACTGCTCAAATTTCAACAAATGACAAATGCAGCTGAAATTCCTTCAGTTTCCATCTAGCGGGGCCCCTCCAAAGGCAAGTTTTTCGTTCTTTCTTTGAACCGTTTAGTCCTCAAAATTGCGAGAAATTATTTGCATCCATATTATAGAAGTATGCTATTTGAATTTCACGTGTAATTCAAATTGGAATAGAAACAATTTTCATTATTCGTGGAATAGGAAGTGTTTTAAAAAATTAAAAAAATTAAAAATAAAAATTGTTTGATATAATATTAACATCAGCAATTTACATTAACAAGCAATTTGAATTTTATGTGTAAAAGATACTTCAACAACCCATCGTGTAATTTTAAATCAGCACTGCCTACATTACACATAATTCCACAACATGAACATGTAGATGTTTTAATCACGTCTCGTTTCATGCTATATGTTTCAAACCATTCATATCATCTCATGTCAGGTTAATCACAACATACACACTACACATAGATATTCATGTAGTTAAAATGTACCAACATGACAACACATTACATATAGATCCCAAATCACGGATGTTCGTTAGCTAAAAATACATACAGTATGACACGAGATATATAATTCTCACGGACATGTTATCTAATGTAATGTGAATCACAATTGAACCACTTCACACGCATGCAACCTTTATATATCCATTACGGATAAGAAGACAATTCACAATTTTTACCTTTTAGACAATGTCTTAATGGTTCAATGACTTCGTCAATTAACGTCATTACATGTGCAACTTTGTGTTCACTATACCATGTCTTGTACGTCATTTCTTTGTTGTTTACCAATTCACTGTCTTTTATTCAAATGGTATCAGAACATGGGAATTGGTTAATAGGGTAGTCAATTTACATATCCACTACTTCACTTATGTTTTATCAATCAAGATTTATGAAGTTTTTTTATTCCAAAATTTTAATTTCCCTCATCAACCAAATAACACACTTTATGATGAAAATGTTCGACCCAAATAGATCAAGAGATCATCACGACCACACTGGCCATGGCACGAAGAGATTGCAGCCAATAGATGGACACTGCCAAATTGCTTCTCAACAAGTGGTTCAAGCTTGCAATCCTGTACATGCTTCTGCACTTTTCTCTGGGCATGGTTGCTTTTCTTCGTCTCTTTTGCAAACCATTAGCATCCAAAAACACAAGCAAACAAAATCATGAACAAGCATCGGAGATTAAATTTTGTTAAAAACTACGAGACATAGCAGACTAAACATCATACACATACCGTTGTTTTTTTCTTTAAGGTTACAAGTTATCCTCATAGTGAATAGCATTTTGTAATTTAACGATTTCAACTAATATAAACTATGAATGCTATTGTCCACATGAAATTGTCTCTTACTTTGATACATTATGATGTAGATCAAACACATAATTTATATCACGTACATATTGACGAATGTTGTGATGGACTCAATTATCAGATTCATTGTAAATTTCATCATAACGCAGTACGTGAAATTACCTTAAGTTTGAAAAAAATCGTTAGAAAAGAAATTCGAGTTTGAAAAAGTATCAATTCCATGGTAGGAATCGATGAAATATGATAGACGAAACTTGAAGATGATGATCAATCCCAAATAAAATTATATCACAAGTGATATGGCAACCCTTTTTTCTTGATTTTTTGAAATCAATTTGATGGGAGACACATTTAATACAAGCTAAATGTATTCACTCATTTAAATTTCAGTTAAAAAAGGGGTTGAGGAGTAATTTTAGGAACTAGTATTTATAAATATATTTTACATATTATATAGTATATTAGGTGTATATATCATATTGTAGTAGTTTTGGATATTTTACTTTCTATAGGGTATATACAATTTTTTTTCCGAAAAATAAATGAATAACTCAGTGCAGGCATGTGCCTGCACTGGTCTGTAATGGGCTCCGCACCTGGTCTCGAACATTAAAAAAATTATTATAACGCTTCGACAATTTTTTTCACAACATCCTATGAAGTATTCATAAATTACCGATTATTGTTGGGCCTCAAATCAAAAATCCTAGCTTCGCTACTTAACATAGTCATTTTTAGTAGTGTATGCTATTAATAATAATTTCTTAAATCATGAATTGCAGTTATTTGTAAATGTCCTATCTTATTTTCTTTTATAAAAATTTTGTAGTTCTATATACTGGTTCATTGGTGTTCTAAAAGGCGGGCGAGGCCCAGCGTGTGAGACTTAAAAGAAAAAACTTTATATATGGGAAAAATATGATAAATTTTATTTTTAATCACCTAATTCGAGTCTAGAGCCAAAAGGCCAATGCCTTTTTTTTTTCCTAATTTTTAATTATTTTAAGAGTTAAAATAAACTAATTAATAAAAGGAATAATTATCAATAATCTTGTTAAAATAATTATCAATGATTTTAAACTAATTAAAATAATATTAAGAATAAGAAAAAAAAAAAAAAAACCTGATTACATTGCTTTAAAGCGGGTTACTTCAACAAGCAGTACGAGATTGTCCTTCGTAGCATTATCCTGAGCGTTACCGTAGACAATAATATTTTGCCATGCATAGGTTAAGTCCGGATCCTTGATAACTTGCGCACATGGTGCACTGTTTTCGTCCGCTATCACCTCCATAATCAGTCTTTGCACTGTTCTTACTTTCTCTTTCTAACGCTCTAAAAGTCTTCGCGTTTACTCTTTCTTTCTCTGTAAGCTTCCATTATTGATCCTGTCTCTTGCAGTGTAACAATACGATATGGATAGTCAAGATAACAAGAATTCCACTGCTTCTACAGGTTCGCATCTCTTTCTTCTTTCAAGAAACTAAGTTTTGGAATTATTGTCTGCTGAAATTTTGCGATTTTTCAGTCTTTTCTTCAAAGATATTTAGTAGGTTTTGCTTTTCTTGCTTGGATTTTGATGGATTTTTCTTGGTCTGTTCATCTCCCCTCTATCCCTCTCTCTCACACACACGCAGAGAAACACATTGACTGACCCCTTAATAAATGTTTGTACGCAGGAAATGATGAATGTTTACAACCTTCTGTTTAGTCCATTGATTGTGTGTAAAGTGATTGCAGTGAAATCATTTTATACTCTATGCTCTAATAGAACTCACGCACAAACGTACAGGGAAATGAGCTCTCTGTAACTAGTTTGTTTCTCGTATATGGTGTTGTTATAAGAACTTTTGACTTTTCAATTTGTAATTTTTATTTTCTGGGTCTATTCGAATTCCCAATTTTTGTTTCCAGTTAATGGTTTTCTTTTTTCTCTTTGGTTCTTGAAGGGCATGAGATTCATGGGGTTCACCCATGTCACAGATGTGGTTGGCCTTTTCCAAATCCAAACCCAAGTGCTAGACACAGAAGATCCCACAAGAAGGTTTGTGGAAAAATTGAAGGCTATAAACTGATTGAATCAGAAAATGCCCATTTGGCTGTTTCAGATGAGGAGCATTCCTCCGATGAGGATCATCAAACCCCCAGTGAGATTTCTGGAGTTTTTATTTATATTCTGCATTTGTTTGATTCCGTTTCTTAAATTAAAAATGTGGGATTTTTGTTGATGTGCTGTTTGTTTGTAAAGGTCCCAAGGTTGGGAAGAAAAATATCAAGGAATTTGATAGTAGTGGTGGAGTTGGTGAAAAATTGAACAGATCAGAATATGAAGTGTTTGCAGATGCAGTCACCGAATTTTCAGATAGTGGAGTTAGTCCCAGATTGGATGAGCATTTGGAGAGTGTTTCTAATAAGAGTGTGGAAAAAGGCGTGGTGGATGTTCTTAATAGGAACCAACTACTGAAGTCTGATGAAACTGCCAGTAAGCATTTGATTATTTGGTTGTAGCATCCACTTCCGTTTAATTAACTACTGATTACTAGCATTATAATTTTAATTTCTAGTTAATTGCCATTTTTTTTTGCCATGATGGGAAATTTACTAGAGGATTATAGAAAGGAAATTAGAAATCATGCGTATCAATCATATAAACTGTAGGTGCTTAAATTAAATGAATCTGCATATGGAAATCTCTCATTCAGCATCCAAGTTTACTTGTACTCCTCTATGCCTTGAAGGAACTTGAGTCCCTCTCGCCTCTTGGGACGTGTCTTTGTCTAGATCCATTTTCTATGGCACCGTTTAAAGGCTATGTTATTGCATTACCTAAAGGTAATGGGTTTCAGGAAACCAAGGAGACTCGATTGAAACAATAAATTTCAATTTTACATACATTTGAATGAACAATTATATGTGCATTCTTGTTTTTCTCTGAACTATGATTAAAAAGGAATGATGACTATTCACTGTTCCTCATTGTGTTCGATTAAACTGACTAAGATAATAAATCGCGAGACATTGATGACATGATTGACTATTGTTGGGCACTGGGCCTTTGTTCACTTCATCTAGGAAGTGGATGAGGACATTGTGCAATATGAATGATGCATATAAATGCACTTGAAATTTAAACAGGTTTGTAACTCTATATAGTTGCGGCTCAACTTTTCATATTAGTTCAAACCTTGAAATTACATGTTGATAGATTTGATGATTGTGAAAGAAAATGTGTTATATGGCTTAATTGAGATAAAATTTTGTGTTTTGCTTGAGGTAGTTCTTGGTTATTCTTCATCTCTCCTCTTTTGTCAATCTTCCTGAAGACTTCTTAAATTTATCAAATTGTGTATACAAATGACAGCTGTCTTAAACATAGTGGTGTTCTTCATTGAGCATAATTTATTCATGTGAATTCCTTTAATATCAAGTCCACTCCCGTGAGTGCAGAGACGACTGAACAACTGAATGACCCCGCAAGCAGCAGCCAAACGTGCAAACTGGAATATGTGGTGGACCATTTGGAGAGTACTATTACACCAAGTGACACTACATCTGAATCAGTTTCTGTTGGACTCACTAACGGTCTACAGTCTGGCTCTCAGATTCCTATCAAATCTGAGATTCAGACTGATATAATCACTGATAATATAAATGAAGATGGTGAAAGGAAAATGCAGCAAGAGCCAGTGAGTGCTAGAGAGTTTGTAGATGCCAAAGGGGAAAAAGGTGAGGCGTATCTGAAAAGCTCTGAGTCTGTGGCCTTAGACTCTGTCAAAGGAAAAACTTCAGATCTTAATGTAATAGTAGTCAATAGGGAGGAAAAACTTTGTGATAAATTGTATCCTGCTGAAGTGGTCAAGCATGAAGTTAATACTCAAAATGAAAGACCTGAAAACATGGATTCTTTTGTTGAGGTAGAAAAGGATGCTGATTCTGCCACAGATAGAAATGGTGAAAGTGACCACAATTTGATTGAGGTATGTAAGTCAGAGAATGAGCAGGAACAGATGCATTTTCTATCTGCAAATTTACCAGGAGTAGATAACCCTGAAGTCATAATTGAAGATTTCAAAGATCATAAATATATTCAGTCTAAGCTTCCTCTGGACCTGAGCTCTGCTGAAATAAGAAGACCCATGGAAGCTATTGATGAAGGTAATATTGCGGAGGAGTGTTTAAGTGCCCATTCAGTTAAGCCAGTTAGAAGCATTGCTAGCTCTTCTGTAGCTTTGGGTGCTTCCAGTGCTGTGGAAGATAATCTTAAAGTGGAAGCTGACACATCCACATTGACTGGAACAAGCGGGAGTGTTGAAACTTGTAGCTTAGAAGTCCGAGAAGTTACCTCTGGGGCAGAGATCCAACCAAACTCCAATACCCAAGGATTGAAGTCTCATTCGGTTGACTTGTCAAAGAATGCTCTTTCTGAGTATTCTCCAGTTAAAGGCTCTGATATCATATCTAATGTTTCTTCTACTGATGAAGAAGTCAAGCAAAAATACAATGTGCATGGAGATGAGAATGCTAAAAATTGTGACACAGTTAAGAGTGACAAGAGTGTTACTGCTGGAAATGAAAGGGGCGACGGGGACTCTGAGGACATATTATGTGTCCAATCAAAATCAACACCCGATCATGCAGACAAGTCTTTTTCACCTAAAGATGATCAAACTAACAATGCTCTTGTAGAAGACATCAACCATTGTGATGAAAAGTCCAGCAGTATGCTTTTGGATGCAGCAGGGAATAGAAGTGAGGAAGTTGGTGTCCTTGGTAATTTAATGAATAATGGAGAAGCAAAGAATGGTTATTCTATGCAGTTGCTGTACCCGACTGATATTTTAACTTCAGACCGAAGTGCAAAACACCCAGTCTCCGAAGAGATGGCTCCTCTGCCTGTAAATTTTGAATCTTTGAAACAAAAATCTGCTGAAGAAACTAGCTGTGCTGGTGATGGTGTTATAGAATCAGAACCTGTTTATGCGGCTGGAATGGTAGGTGAACTGACTCGTAATGGAAATATTGTAAAAATGAGTGAAAATCAAGATAAACCTACTTCAATAAAGCAAGAATCCATGCCTGTAGGTCAGGAATGTTTGAATGAAACTTCTGCTGCTGTTGAGAACAGATGCACAAGTGATGAAGTTAGCACATTAAAGCCTGTTGGCATAGATTCAGGTGTGGAACTGATTCACGATGGTGATATTGTAGCATTAGACAACAATTCACCCGTCTCAATTTCAATAGAGCCAGAAGCCACACCTTCAGATTCTGAAGTTCTAAACAAAAGTTCTGGTACTGTTGACGATGCACCTATTACTAATGGTGAAAAAGTCTCTGGTATTAGTTTTGAGCCTTTGCAAGATGAAGCCGATGACAAGCTCACAAAACAGAAAGATGGTAATTCGTCTGTGTTTATATCAGGTGCTTCAAGTAGTCCAACTGAGAGTCTCGAAGGGAACTGGGGATCAGGTAAACTCTATTGTTACTGTATATAAATATAATAAAACAACCAAATGGAACTTCAAGATAATAATGGACCGACAAAACCAGAAATTTTCGTAAGAAATTAAAGAAAGAATTAAACTGAGAGACAAGATTAATAAGCACAGAACACACTAAGAATTGTTCATGGTTCAGGAATTGCCCTACATATACGGTAGGACCTGATTTATTCTTTTATTCTAAACTAGAGGCTGAAATACGGACTTCTCTCTGAGAGTAAATGCACTCAGGTCTCACTCATCTACTCATAAACAAATCTGAGTTGGTCTGTTTTAACTAACTTCCATGTCTTCACTTAACTATAAATTTCTCTGAATATTCTGTGTTAGAATTATGATCCAAATCATAACAAATCTGCACGTTTGAATCACAAATCTCAAATGCTGGTCCTGTAGTCACTTCCCCACCAATGGGGCTGTTCAATGTCTCTTGACATTCACCAAATTCGAGCTGTGCCTGAACTTTGTATTAGGCAGTGTCTAGCATATCTGCAGGGTTGTCATGCGTGGACTCTTAATTTCAGCAACACCTTGAACTATTATGTTTCGTATTAATAGCGCAATTTTACGTCAATACACTTAGATCTATCGTAGAATAAGTTGGAATAAGTGATTATTTTCCTATTTTAACTTGAGTCCATTATTTTTATTCTAATTTAATTAAGGAATTAATATAGTAGTAGGAATATTATGTTCCCTTTTCCTGTTACTTTCTATAGTTAGGTTTCTTTCCTTCCGTTGACGGGATTGTACCGTTATATGTAGAATTAATTGTCTATGAATAAAATTGAATTCCGCCTAAATTTCAAGTGATTATTTGGTTCTTTGAGAGAGAGATTGCACTTTCATTAGCACACACCACTCTGCCATTTACTTCTGGATCTTCCAACTCAGCTACCAGCCTCTTGACCCAATAGCTTCTTTTATTGCTTTTGTATGATTAATTTTCAGCTTAAAACATTCCCATGCAGAATAATATTGTATCCAGCCAATAAACTTCTTTTGTCTAAATCTCTTAAATTCCCTGCAAAATTGGAATCTACATTCATGGCACGACCAGATCCATTTCTTTTATTCTTAACAACAGGCTGAATTACAGAGTTTTCTCCAGGACTAAATACGTTCAGGTCCAAGTTACAGATTAATTTAAGTAACTTGAATGTCTTCACTAAACTGTAAGATTCCAAGATATACTTATAATTTGGTCCAGAGCATGACGTAAATATATTGTTGAAAAGTTGGATGTGTTTTTCAATCCTCTTTGCACGTCTTTCTTATTATGTGTTGCTTGCTTAGACTTAATAGGACTTCTAGTATGGTCTATATGTGTGACAAATAAGATGATGACGTGATGTTGCATGCCATACACTGCACTACTACCATTTAATAGATGTATTCAGTCGTTCTAATTTTATTACATGCTTCACATTATTGATTGAACAGTTCTTTCCTCGCAATCCGACCTGACAGCCATTGCCGAAACAAATCAGAAGCACAAAGCTATAGCCACAGAAGGCCTTCCTCACAAGTCAGATGATTTTGAGCCTCCATCTTTCGGGACATTGGTCCAGTCTGCAGATAAAGTTAATCAGAAAGGTTCTTTTTCAGAAATCGAGATAGCTCAAAATGCTCAACAGCCGAAATCTGAAGCTCTACCGCAAGGCTGGTTCCCTTCCGTGACAAACATAGTGAACGAATCAGAAGGTCGAAAGAAAAACGAGGATATTATTGCTAAAGTGACAAACTGGAGTTCAGGTAAACAACACAGCCCATTGAAAAATCTTCTGAGTGAAGCCAAGTCTCTTAACCCAAAACAAGTGCCTGCTGCAAATCAGAAAGACGAGACTACCACAAAAGATAATGGTCGAGGAGTAACCACTGTGAATTCAGCATTAGTTTCTGGAGCACCTAATAAAGAAATGGAGTGGAATTCACCCGCTAGGTATCCGACTGAGATTAAGAAAGAGAAGAAGAAAGGAAAGCCGTATTGGGCAACGTTCGCTTGCTGTTCATCTGTACATAGCGACTTGTAATCCTTGGTTTGCATTGTAGAGATGAAGAATTATATGATGAGAAATTTCACTATACTCTGTTATATGTTAATGTCTATCTGGTAGATTATGTGTGTTGGTGTGTATATCTTTTGAGGTTGTTGGTTTGTATTATATATATATTGAATGGAGATATTTTTGCCTTTTATTCGGATCTGCTGTCAATGTCAAATGAATAATCCTGCATGCATGCATGCACAGTGTGATATTTCATTTCTTTTTCTCTCTGTTGGATTTATGGTAGGGCGGACCCAGAATAAAATTTTTTTAGGTTTCTTAATGTTTAAAGGTAATCACCAACTGTTTTTCCCACAATAAATAAAATTTATTTAATTAAAGTACGTGTTCTTCACTGAAACTTATATGTAGGTATGACTTTTAGCCCAAAAACAAAAAACAAAAAGAATTTATTGGCAGGAATGAAGATAGGACAAGCGCTATAATTCAGAAAATTGGGCAAGTTTTGCCCATGATAGTAAGTTTGTCTAAGCTTAAAAGCGCTAATTATAGGTAATAAGTAATTAAGTTTGTTCTAGAATAATTAGTTTTTTCGAAGAAATATAGAGCCAATAAATCACTTATTTTAACAGAAACAATAAGACTCACTTTCGAATAAATTTAGAAGTAATTCATCTAAGCACGTTTTGAAATTAAAGGTTATATATAAGCCGAATGTTTTTTTTTAACTGCAGAAGAAAGATTGAAATCAAAGAATAATCTTCTTTCCCACAAAGTAAAAGTTAAAAAAATATTGCTTTCTTGGTTATTAATGAAATGTTTTTTAAATGGATGAATTAGCCGTGTAAAAATAGTAGGCAATAAGAACATATCAATTAGGATTTTAATTCGTATTTAATTTTCTGTCAAACGTAATGTAGAGTGTCCAACTAGATTTGGAAACAAGTGGGTTGGTGGCACTATTAAACTTTATCTTGGTTCCCTGATGTCCAGGATGTGGTGACAAACATTTTACAGCAGTGAATGTCTCAAGATGCAGCAAATATTTGGTGCTTGATGTGGTTAACATGAGGCCAATGGAACAGATTAGTGCACAGTCGGAAGGCAAGTCTGGCTGAAATTTTGGCTGATATGGCTGCAGATTTTGAGAGGTTACAGGAGGAATTTGAGAATCAAATTTAAAGCTCCTCCTGTCATGCCCTCATTGTTTGTAGCTGACAGAACTTGGCGACGAAGTTTCAATGAACGTCCAAAAACGCCATCAACCAGCTTCAAACAAATGTACATTTGCATTTTTTTTCTTTCAAACCAGTGTCGTGCTTTGTAATCAGAGTAGATAGAGTACTGCTATTCATTGTCACCGATTGCAGTAATCATCCTATGCGACTTGTTATTTGAGACATTAACTTATTTTTTATGGTAATAGAATTACAAAAAATTAATAACTCAGATAACAAGCTGCCACGTAAGGTACAACTATTGTAGTCGACGACTACTAATAGCATTTTTCTATTAGATAAGGTTATTTTCTTTACACTATACTCACTTATATTATGTAGATACACGATCACATTTGAACAAATAAAATCCATTCAAAAATAAATTTTACACCTACAATCCGAGCCCCCATAACCACATTCTCAAATTCAATATAAAATGGTCTTGCAGTCTGAGTATTGATAAACTATAATTAAGGTAACAAAAAACTACCAATGTCTGACCAACAATAAAAAAAAAACCCTTTTAAGTTATACATTGGTCCTTTTCTTTCCATGTCATTTAACAACCATCCTGGACCCCTTATTTCTCAAATAAAGCAAGCACCAGTTTCACATCCCCAAAGTTTCCTTATTGTTTCAGGGTCCAAAAAGAAGGTACAAAACTGGAATTTTGTAACGAGAGGTAGCCGAGGAGATAAAAACTCATTCACGATGATTTCCATAAATCCACGAAACATAAATCCACGAAACAATTAAGCGATGGAAGATCCAAACTCGATCTAGTGCCTTCAAGAAGCTTGGACTGCCAAACGCTGTAGATGATCGATGAAAACTTGTAGACTCACATCATCAGTGAATATCACATCCGAACCAGCAGCCATCTCGTGTACGTTACTGTATGTCGCTGATGGGTTCAACTTTGCCAACAGGAATCTTGCCTGTTACAATGTGCGCCAAACCATAAGATAGATTAACGAAGTATATTACAGGAAGTGGGTGGCTGATTCTTTTTAAACCACTGAAACTACTGAAATGGTACACAAAGAAAACAAGCGTAGGTAACATTAGAAGGAAAAGCTGGATCCTTGATGGACAAGTCAATTATTTTACTAACACTACAAGTCAACTCTGAGGATCCTCTTACTTCCTCATGGTTGGTATATGCCATTCAAAATGCTGTATCAACTATGGGGAATTTTTAATAAAAATGCATCTTTAGCAACAAAGCACGATGATTGCACTAGGCATTGTAAGACAGAATGCCCCACACTCAAATCTGGAATACTCTTCACAATTATCTATTACAAGAACCGAGTTACCATGAATCATCAAAGTTCACATTCTAAGAATACAGTTGAGCAGAGGGCGTGGGGGTGGAATAAAGTAGTTTGCCTCTATGTTTCTGCAGAAATTGAAATTTTAAATACATACTTAGGTTTTGTTCAAAAACAACGTTTATTCCCACAAATGAGCCTACCAGTAGAATCAGCTACAACAAGCCCGTTCTGCAATGTCTCTATACCTACCTTTGAACTGTTTGTGTCCTACTATTTCTAAGATTTTAATTATTTTCAAGTATTTTACATGTCATGGCAATTAGGATAGAGATTCTATATCGCTGTACAGTGAATGATCTATCTGGTGGAATAAAGGCGTGTTGTCATTCCAAAAAGGTCAAAAAAGGTAAACAACACCTACACAATTTAACATCCAGAAATGAGCAGGGTCATTAGAAGCACAGAATATTCACACATACCTCAATTCATGGTCAAGTGCTAGCTCACTTTGATATTTACAGAAACAAATACATAACAACAGTCAAGCTAAATCTCAAGCAAACTGAAATTAGGAGAAAAAGGTAACCTGGGAACCATGCTGATCACACACCACCAGTCTTGGCACAGGAAACCGATCGCGAACAATCAGTTGGGCATCATCATGCGGAGCTTGTAATAAGTGCGCAAAGGCCTATAAAGACAAGGAGAAGAGAGTATTTTTATGCATGCGGAAAACAACATATTATTTTCATGGAAGTACAGCCTGATTCGAAGTAAAATTCAACTGCCACAATTCCAAGATAGGGTGAGGGCGTAAGAAGTCAAGAATTTAGAGAAAAATATTTCAGCACTGTTTATGCATTCCCATAAATGCTCCCATCTTAAATTAACCATACTTACCAACTAAAACATGCTAATATTTTTATGAATAAGCCAAAAATAAATAAAGAAATAAATAAAGAAATAAAGAAAAGAAAAATGGAAAGATCAACAGCAAAGAAGAAACACATACTTGATGTTCTGGTTGATTCTGGTAACCCATGTTCCTCCATTGAGCTATTGTCATTCCATGGAAAATAACTACACTAAAATATGAATCTAGCAAGAGAATGCGATCAGCTGCAATGGATGACACATCCAACAAAGCTGGTGCAGGCAGTGAATTAAATGAATATGATATTAATGATGGTTGAATCATGACCGTGGCATTGCTAATAATCTCCCGATTCAACAAAATACGAAAATATGCGGTCTCATCAGGACTGTTATTGAACACCTGAGAGAGAAAACGGGTCATTAATCACTATTATGTACATTAAAAATAAAAAGGAATAAAGACTAGTGCAAGCAATATTACCTGTACAAATTGTGATCTACGCAGATTAAACATAAACTGAGGGAACAACGAAAAACTTGGATTTAATGTGAATGAGGTTGGATCGTCCTTTCGATAGTCACCAAATTTGGAACATAGTCGAATTAGATTCCTATCCAGCCACCTTGTTGCGTCAAATGCTTCCTGACAATTAGGGAATAACAGTCAGTCTTCTCTTATACTGTTTACCAACTCAGTGAAAATAACCATAACAATATAGCCTCCATTCCGAAAAATTTATAAATCATTTATAAACAGTCAAACTTCATTTTTAACCACACATGCCAATGGATCCACAAGTAATATACACTTATCCACCACTCATTTCTATCTATTTATAAATTAGAAGTTTATAAATTCTTCCCAAATGGAGGCTAGTAAACCTTTCTTTAGGTAAAACAAACTATAATATTCCCCAGGCAATCCAACCAAATTAACTCCTCTACGCCAGGTTGGGGTGCCAAATATCTGAATCACTGAATGTAACTCTTCAGCAATCACTCATTTGTCTCGGCCTAGCACCATATATATATTCTTCACTATTTTCCAACTTTTGGTACCTGAAATCTAAATTAAATAGCACCACCCAGAGAGACAGCAAAATCAAATATAAATCCTGCACAGCGAAGTCCTCGTACATTCCACATTCTAAATACAATTGAACACCAGCTCAAGACATTTATGAGTTGGAAAAGTGCCAGAAAAGATAAATTTCTTTTAGTTCACTCGTAAAAAATTAACTCCAGTGTTTCTAAAAATTACTGGGCCAACTAATATAGCACATACCACATGAGCAGTCTAAATTAAGACCAATGAAGCTGTAAAGAATTGAAGGTGAGTATGGCACCCAGCATAATGTTGACACGAAGAAAATGAAGTTGATGCATGAGAAGTAAAGAAAAAAGGAGTTCATCAGAATTTCAACAAACAGTTATGCAGGGAAAATAACGAGCATATTTAATTTATGCAGGTAATCAAGTTTCAACCATGCAAACAACATTTTATTAACTGCCCCCTTACATATATCAATATGTAAGCAGATCAAGTCTTCATTGTTAGACCGCATTAGCAAATGTAAAATTCAAATGATGGTATACCGAAACCACGACAAAGTGATGCAGCCAGAACTAAGAATCAGAATAAGCATTCTTGCATGCCGGTGGTGATGTACACTACAAAAGTGTAGGGTTCCGCAAAGAAGGGAAGATTTACATATGGTATGCTTACAACAGTTCCATGAAATGTAATAAGTACCTCCATCTCCATTTTATAAGAAACTAATCTAGCCATTACTACAGCAGCAGCTTCCTGATCAAATCCTTGAACTAAGTCCTGCAACCACAAAACTCTTGCATATCAGGATTAACCTCCCAGTACCAGCTAATGTTATTCCTGCAAGAATTAAAAAGGCACCTCACCTAGCCTTACAAATTTACATGATAAAATAAATTTTACTCCAAATACAATCAAAATATAAAATTAATAGGGTAACAAAAAAATTCTCAGTCATAATTTAACTTGCAAGGTCAGCTGGAATAAAATGATAAATTTGCCTAATTTTAGAAAATGAAATGATACAGAGATAAGTTAAAGACCTCGAGTCTCAAACATATAAATGCTTGAACTACCCTTAACTTCATATACTCTAAAATACGATCTTTTTCCTTTTTCAGTAAATGATTTGAACCACTGTTACCGAACCGGGAGACCACCTATGTCTAAATTGGTTCCACCAAAAAATTTCTAACATCCTGTAGTCTGACAGGAATAGACCACTGAATTGTGATCAAATACATAAAATCTTAGGGGATAAAAATGTTCACAACTGTCCTCATTTGAGAAAAATTATAATGTGATTATAATGAAAAGTAATGAGTCCCACGAAATGTGGATGATAAGTGGGTAGTAGTAGTGATGTATAGTTCAAAATAATGTTGACATTGACCTCAACTTATAAGGAGATTATAATAAAACCCAAACAAGCATTATGTGTTACTTCTTTCCTCCCAACAAGTATGTTTGACGTGCCACATAAAACCACGCTAGTGTCTTGAAAAGAGAATTATCTCTTCTCAGAAAAAAGATTGGTTGATCATTCCACACAAGCCTAAAACAAATGTTGAGAATTTTCTTCAAGTCCTTGGGTTCAACATTAAACAATTATTTCAATCACGTATAATAACAAAACAAAAGAGGTGCACCACGGCACCAGAACAAAAATGACAGTAAAAGAAACCACTGGGTACATGAAGAACCTTTCTCTACATTGATCTGGGAAATAATTATAAAAGCTGGACAAAGAAAGATTTTCTCATGAGACAACAAGTAAAGACAATTAATCATCTTACCTCAGTGCCAACAGCACTATCTACCCACCGTCTAGTTACAGTTGTTACTCTAAGCCTTGTTTGGCCATCAGAGCTCTGGTAACTGCACTAAAAAATTTTTGGATTAGAGCCAACAATTTCATTCGAATTAAACAGATTCATAATTTATATAGAAAAGAAATATGATATGTGAAACATTTTTATCAAGAATTTAAAAACCCAGCCATAAACATCTTGGAGCCCAAGAGTTGCAAAGACAGGAGAAAAGCAACACAGTAAAGAGTGATCAAGTACAAAAGTGGGAAGCTAAATTTTTAGAAGGAAGCGGTTAAAAGTATTCTCCACATACCTAGTTAGAAACTGTATGTATAACTGTGGATTTGTTCCAGACGGATCTGACTTTTCACTAGAAGAAACATCAAAGAAAACAGTCAAGCAAGTATTTCTGTCGAGGCCACACATCTTCCAAGCTGTAGTGTTCCCCTGTCCAATGGCTGTGTTGGCAACAGCAGGGCCTTTCTGCAAGAGTATCTCACATAAATTTCGAGCTAATAACAGTGAATGTATCAGAATAGATCCTAGAGCCGAAGAGAGTTTGCTCTCGATTTCCAGTCATGTATAAGATGACTAATACAATTACTTAGCAAGTTTTAATTGAATCAACCTTCTCCAATGATGTGCATGGCCCTAGGATCCCTTGGATTTTGATTTCCTTCGAACAGTTGATCTCCAGTGTCCCACTGAAAAGGACAAAAAGGAATTTTAGCAAGTTTCTGATTTCCATAATTTTCTTGATAGATATAACTGGAAGACTTGAGCAAAACAAAGAGTGCAAATATTCACGTTGGTGGAGATGAAAATCTTTAAAGTTAAAGGTTTCACATCCAGCTGAATCTTAGACAGGATTTATGCTGTGAGCCCATATATGGCATTACTGCAGCACAAGTTTTTTCATCCATTGAAGGACATGAATAACATAATCACATTAGAAGAAAAACAGCCAAGATTGCAGAAGTGGCACAACATAATCAAATTAGAAGAAAAACAGCCAAGGTTGCACAAGTGGCACAAAGGAAGCACAGGAGACATAATTTCCTTGTTTAATCAGTTATCTTTTAGTTTCTCTGAATTTCCCCAAGATTTACAGCATTCAAATCCTCAATTTCTGAGTATTTGCACACGGGGATGGATTAAAAACTCAGCATCCCTTGCTCCTCCACCTCACCTCACCTCACCTCGCTCCATATGCTATCATAACATTTATACTCGGAAAGCCCACTCACCAGAGAGAGAAAAAAAAGAGACAAATAAAGAGAAGAGTTCAGTGAACACTATCAAGGAACTCACTTGAATGAAAGCCCAAGGGATTGTTCTCCATCTTCAAAAATGTGCTTGAATGAGTCCTTGAAAACAGAGTGACCAAAACTTTCAGCCAGAACCACCAGTCCACCAGTTCTTTCAATGGCAACTTTCATCTCAGCAATCCCAACCTGAAAACTAATATTGTAAGTAAAATGGGTAGAAAGCAGGGCAGTATTTATCCTCGAGTACAGGATTGTTGGTTGCCGTCAAACATTCAGCACTTCATATCTTATTAGACATACAAAATGCCTTCACAACCGCCAAAAGAAAAGACTGAATTCAGGTCAAAAAAGCATAGTTAAATATCAATAAACAAATAGGTCCAACAAAGTGCACAAAAAATGGAAGTTAATATAGATATGTACATGCAAGAGTAGACGTACAGAAATACACACTTAAGCACACACGCACATATATTTGTATTAATACATGCACAACAAAATACCACGGTTATATCTTATCTATAGTTTGTTTTAGCATATACAAAAACCATGCAAACGCAAATACAAAGATTTCAGCATACTCTCACAAACCTGATCAAGTGCAGAGGCAAAGACATCCAACACGTGACCCTGGCTAACCAGCTGTTTTCCAAGTTCCTCGTAGAAATGAACAGATTTTTTGAAAAATGGTGCTGCATCCTTGTCAAGATCCTTGTGGGAACGGACTGGATCAGACAGATCTTTAGACCCAATCTGCACACAAAATTATCAACAGTTATAACAACTTAATTTCATATCAAATTCAATCAGCATAAAATAGTCATGAAGAATCAATTTCTAAAAAGTATGGATCGTGTACAATACAAGACAGGTATGTCTACACGTCATTTCTCCCAACACTAGTTTACAACTCACCCCCGGACACGCTAATTGATAAATCTAAATGTATGCAGCATATATGCACATGTTTTTTTTCCCATTTCTTCATACTCGTGAATCACAAATGTTATGTTACACGTACAAATCACATTACAGTTTCAAAAAATCTATGCAGTTAAATATAAATACTGCTTAAGGTGGTAATAAGAAAGTTAAATAGCACGCAGAGTCCTCCCACTTTTGCCTTCAGTCACACTTTTGTCTCTAGACTTTGTTTCTAGGCATCTCAATCCCCAACACTCCAGATTCGGGCACAAGTAGTCTCAAGGTTTCCATAAAAACAATCCATTAAATTCAACAATACGACATTTGTTCCCTCAAATTTAAATAATAAAATATAAAAAGAACAAAAAAATAGAAAAGAAAAAATAATTTATCTTCTTCTCTAAACCTCCCCATCCCAACCCCTCTGCAGCACCCCACTCGCATCTGCTGACAACCCTCCCAGCCCAGTCCCATGGAAAAAATTGTGATTTACCCAAAAAATTCATACTTTTAAGAAACAATGGTCATTTGAAATCAAGAGAAAACTCGAAATAGGAAGGAAAAAATTGTCATTTTCCCAAAAAATTCGTACTTTGAAGAAACAATAGTTATTTGAAATCAAGAGAAAACTCGAAATAGGAAGGGCAAAGATGCCAAAAAGAAAAATCAGATCACTTTCTCAAAGTGAGCTAGGGGAACTTAGAAAACAGAGTCCTAGAATCTGCAAATACAGAACTCCAAAATTTCATCACTTAAAATGCAAATCATACTTTAGATTCTAATATTTTTAAAATGACTGATATTCGCATCTTCTCCTTTGAATTTTCATTACAATGCCATTATTTATTGTGTGGGAAAGAATTTTGTGAATGATGACCTTACATCAGAAGTAACAATAAAATACCATGATTTTGCATCATTTCTTTTATGGAAGACCATATGGCTTGGACTCCTCAAATTTCCTTACGGATTTTGCGGTGTGACCCTCCGTCTACAAAATTAATTGGGGTGGTGGTCGTGAATTGCATGGTTTGTTGTGGGTGTGGGTGTGGGGTGGGGTAGCATGGTTGTAGTCACTGGCAGTGGAAGACTGCAAGGGTGTTGTGAGTGGGGAGTTTGAGGAAGAATATAATGAATTTTCCTTATTATTTTCAATTTTTTATATATTTATTATTTGAATTTGTGGAAAATAATGTTTTTCTATCAATCTAACAATTTTTTTGGATAAAACTGTTAGTTGGGACCTCTTGTGCCTAAAATATAAAAACAGAACTTTGGAGGTTAAAAAATAAATAGATTGGGACAGAACTGCAAAAGGAGTAAAGGTAGGGAATTGAGTATTCATTATAGCCTAATAAGAATTATTCCTTTTATCCTCCATTACTTCAGTAGGAGTTTTACAGCATAATATGTATCATTCAAATACAATACTATTTTCACACCTAAACGGCCAGGTTTGACTTCCGCAATGGAGATTTCCATTAATAATTTCTTTATAATTATTTAATTTACAAAGAAAATGAAAATCACATTTGACGCTATGATCTGAAAACCAATTTAAGCTTTTTTAAGCAAAATAATCTACACAGAGGTTAGGAAAGATTTTCACTCGGCATGAAAGAGCATGCAAATTTGTGCCAAGGGAATCATTTTTGGAAGTTACCTAACAGCAAGAGTGCAAACATTTTATTGTCCAGTGATCTGAGAAAGTTGTGTGATTTGCCATATATACAATAACAGTTTGTTTTATTAGTTCTCTTTTTAATTTAAAAAACTGATAATCTATAATTAGAAACTAAGTGCAAGTAGTCTATTATTATACATTAAATCCCGAATCTAATGGAAACTGAGTGTAAAGGGCAAAGAACTAAGGGTGCGTTTGATTGTAAGGGTAGAAAATGGGTGGAAAGAATGTTTTACAGGGAAAAGATTTGTTTAGAAAATATTTTGCAGGGAAAATGATTTCAAGTGTGTTTGATTGGTATAATTTTCCACCCGGAAAATTTTTAAATTTTCTATTCGTTTGGCTTTGTTTTACATGAAAATTGTCCATTAAAGTAATATTTTTTTCCACAATTAGTTATAAAATTTGTTTCCATTGCCAAAAAGTAAAAAAAAA